CAAATTTTCATAACTTTCAACTGTAAGTCAAGTTATCTCGCCAGTCTTTTACCCATTCTCGCTCATAATTTCAGAATGGACTCCCATTACAACCTTCCATCGCTAAGTTTTGATTTTTGGGCATCAAACGCAGCAGTTTCTAAATCATCCACACATCTCTTAAAATTTGACTAATACGTCCCGTCACCTTCCACTACGCCCCGCCGAGTCTATGACTACAAACGTAGAGTTTGTTCATCGAATTGTGTAATTTTACATAGGTTTGCCTTGGTCGATTCTTAACACCAGTCTTAAGTTTACAGGCCTGTCAACTGTCCCGCAATTTGCGTATTTGTCACGCATTTGCTGAAGAATTTGAAGTCACGCCAGTTATTTTTGCGTGACAGAAAATGTCACGCAAATACGCATTTTAGCTGGTAATTGTCACGCAAAAATATTTCTGTAGAAAAATGTCTAAAATAGATCGTCTACACAGCAAAAATACGAACGCCGGAAAAAAAATGTACGCATTTCGTTCGGATTTTCACGCGAATTACGTATATGTCACGCATTCCGTTCGAAATTTTGTATATGTCACGCATTCCGTTCGAAATTTTTCGTACCTACCCCCCCCCCCCCCCCCCCCTTGTCGGATGTTTGAAACGCGAGCGTAGCGAGCGCGAAAAATTTGAGGTGTTCAAAATTTGGCAAGATGTCCTAAAATTTAAACCAAGGTGTTCAAAATTTGGATCAAGGTGTTCAGATTTGGACCAAGGTGTCCACATTTTGAGGGGAGGTGTTCAACATTTCCAAGTCACTCATGTTAGGTGTTCCCAAGTTGACAGGCCTGAGTTTAGCATACATATACGGAGTATAACTATAACTGATTGCATGAAATTGATAATTTAAATGTTTGTGAAGATGTTGCTTTTTAACTTTAATTATATGTAATTGTCCTGTATTTGATTTTGTGAGGTATTCCCAATACCTCCAAATTTTTTTGATGTTTTTCCTCAATTACAATAGATCGGAAATGGATGATAAATCTGATGAATTTTTGAAAATTGACATTCCCATGTAAACCCATGAGAATTGATATGTTTGTCGCATGTCATACGACAGAATATCCATCAATCTGAGTACTAGCAAAAAGTACAAGTTAGGTACAGTAGACAGCTGAATTTGCTATCTTTATTTAACAAAAAGTTGATACGTTTCTTCAGGTTCAACAAAGTTATAGGTTAGGGTTGTCCAAATCTGCAAATTTTTCCAAAAATCTGTCATCTGATAGATTCTAGTTACAAATTGACTCTTGGTACCAATATTTCCACTCTAGACCCCTGGGAAATTTTGCCACGCGTCTCACTTGAAGTTTTGGTAATTTTGACAAATATGCCGTTTTCATAAATGGTTTATAACTCAAAATTAAACTGTTGTATTTCAGGAATATGTATTTTTTCTTCATCATGTATGATTTTCAATAACCCTACAGGCACCACTTTTTTAGCTAAATCCATCGGGAAACTTTGCCACGCTTAATTTCAAAATAACGGAGATGTTATCAAAATTGAGCAATATTGGCACAAAAACGTTTCTAGATTCATATAAAGAATGCATCATCATACAACACTTATTGGTATATAAACAACATCTACTGACTTGGTCTGATAATGTAATATAAAGATTTTAACTGTTGTGTGTCAACCTTTCTTTTGTATGATTCCATTGGATTACATTATGAAACGTGTACCATATAAAATGATACATGTTTCTAACGTTATGCTGAAAATAATGGAGAGGTTAAGCAAATACGGTTTTTCAAAACGTATACGTAAACGCAAAGTACATTGAATCAACATAGGATTGTATCGCTTTAGTCTACTTCAGATACCCGTTCAACTTCAAAGTTGCGTGTTTAGAACGGGAGATTTTAAATTTCACGTTGCTATCAACGGGAATCATTATACTCATGTCTGTTGAATACTATCCTTGCAATTTTGTTTCGATGCAGAGTATAATTCTTTCTGAAGAAGATGATGTATGTTACGCATGATTTAACTCCAATAATCTTACGAAACGAGCTCGTTTAAAATATGTATTATGGTACGTTCACACCAACGGCGCTTTGATGGCGCTTTAAAGCGGCTTGTAAAGCGGCACCAAAGCGTAACAAAGCTTAATTAAAGCGTCGGGGTCGTAATAGGTCGTAGAAAAGCTCGGGAGTAAAGCGGGATATTCGGCAAGAGCGCTAAAAAATTTAAACTGTTTAAGCGTTCGCACCAACGGCGCTTTGATGGCGCTTTAAAGCGGATTGTAAAGCGGCACCAAAGCGTAACAAAGCTTGATTAAAGCGTCGGGATCGTAATAGGTCGTAGAAAAGTTCGGAGTAAAGCGGGATATTCGGCAAGAGCGCCAAAAAATGTTAAACTGTTTAAACATTTTGGGCGCTCTGTTACGAATTGATTGAAGCGCCGAGAGCGTATCAAAGCTTAACAAACCGTAACAAAGCTCAACAAAGCTTGACTCAAAGCGTAGGAAAGCTTAACACAGCTTGGTTCAAAGCGGGGACCCCAGTCTATTCACGGTCTGTTACCACTTGACACGCTTCGTTAAGATGTCTCAAGATTTGCTACGATCTGGCATGAAGATCTGACCCGAGGTCAGACGCTTTCATCAATATCTGACACTCTTTGTTACACTTTCATGAGGGACTCTCAAGCTTTCCAACGAATTGAGACGCTTTAATCAAGGATTGAAACGCTTTGCTAGGCTTTGTTACGCTTGAAAGTTTTCACACGCTATATCACGCCGTGCGACAAACGTCATGTCTTCTTCAGATAGGTCATGCTCTGGTCTATCTGGAATTTCTGGATCTCGTTGTTCTGCCATCGTATTCTCGAGTCAAAGATGCAATGGTTTTATGGATCTACTGCATCTTTATATAGTCATTGGATCAAAAGCGGCATGGAATCGGCGATCTCGACATTTTCCAATGCGTGACAGAGCTTAACAGAGCGTAACAATGCACAACAGAGTTTTGCAATCGTATCAGAGCCTGATTTAAAGCGTCATAATCGCATCAAAGCGTAATAATGCTTATCAAAGCTTTTCAAAGCGTGATTTCAAGCGTAACAAAGCCTGATCAAAGCGGGATCAAAGCGTGAGGAACCTTTTAGAGCTATGTTAAGCTTTCCTACGCTTTGGATCAAGTTTTTCTGAGCTTTGTTACGGTTTGTTAAGCTTTGATACGCTCTCGGCGCTTAATCGATTCGTAACAGAGCGCCCAAAATTTTTTCAGAGTTTAAAATTTTTTGGCGCTCTTGCCGAATATCCCGTTTTACTCTGAGCTTTTCTACGACCTATTACGACCCCGACGCTTTAATCAAACTTTGTTATGCTTTGGTGCCGCTTTACAAGCCGCTTTAAAGCGCCATCAAAGCGCCGTTGGTATGAAGAAAAATGACAAAAATGACGGCGCTTTGCTCGCCGATTTAAAGCGTGGCATTCGCCGTTGGTGTGAACGTACCTTTAACAAACACTAGAGCTGAACGGCTATTTATGTGTGAACTTTACATGTATTTGTATTGGGGCGATTGATACGTTTAAGTTGCGTTTTGGATTTTATACGGTAGCTTAACCTCTCCAGTATAATTGACATCACCCATCCTTTCGCATTTTAACATTTTTTCAAGGATAGGGCACTTTAAACGTTTCTTAAAAATATTTTCAATTGTTCAGTAATTAAAATCTTTATATTGCAATATCGGGAAATCTAAATTTTAGGGAGATTTTGGACAACCCTATTATAGGTATATTGAAAATGGACAAGAATGGGTAAATCTTAAAACACAATCCGATTGGTATTTAGAATCGACAATGGCAACCTACAAACGGACACATCGATGGACAAATTGTTTTAGAATGCAACTCTACGTGTATAGTGATAGACTCGGCGGGGCGTAGTGGAAGATGACGGGACGTATTGGTCAAATTTGAAGAGATGTGTGGATGATTTAGAAACTGCTGCGTTTGGTGCCCAAAAATCAAGACGTAGCGATGGAAGGTTGTAATGGGAGTCCATTCTGAAATTATGGGCGAGAATGGGTAAAAGACTGGCGAGATAACTTGACTTACAGTTGAAAGTTATGAAAATTTGCTTTATCTCACAGCTGGGGACCAAAACGCCGCTAAAACGAGGTACTTTGTACACGAAAACAATGTATCGACTGAAAGGTATTTCTGTGAAGCTTTGTACGGAACAGGTTTGAAGAAAAACGGTGAAGTGTGAGACTCACAATCCTTGATTTTCAAACACTGGGGTAGGTTTTAAATTCAAACTAACGGTTTTTTCGGGACGGAGTGGTTTCGATACGTCCCGAAGAGATACTACCGCGTGATTTTAAAGAGGTGAAGAAGTGAATAATTACAGGAGCAAACGTGATCAATGGTTCGAGGTCTCCCGCAAAATAGTCGCTACGCTCCTACTTCGCGCTGCCTTCGGCAGAGGAGACCTCGAAAAAACAACAATAACCATATTTCACACACATTTAAGCGAGGGACCAAAAGGGCATATTATATATCCTGACTTATCCTTTGAACAGACTTGAGAAGCTTATCTTTTCAACATTCATATGTCTGAATATTTGTTCCACTTAATTAAGATAGAAATGATGAATAAATTATTAAAATGCAAACGTTGTTAATGCCATTAATAAATGAAAGTTAAAGAATGGGTTTTATGATGCATGGCCTGTCAATGACGTCATTTAAAAAACTGATCAAGTATAATGTTTTTATTAATTACTGACAAAATCATATCGGCTGATCTGACAGATTTTGGATTTAATTTGCCACAAGTTCAGTGTGCTTATAATCAATCATTATGAATGATTTGAATGTGGACATTAATCACTTTATATCAAAATCAGACATCTATGCATCCACCAGTCAATCATCATTTTTTATAAAAATAAATAATGAGTTCAAAAGTTAATTATAATCAAACAAATCAATTTATATATATTGTTTTTTACTTTTGATATTTTGTTCGCATATGACTTGCTCAACTGAATTTAGATTGGTTCATGTTCATTTCTTTCAACGTGGAGATAGGGAAAGGCAGTCAATATGATTCTAGAATTAGGTATAGTAAACTATGACAATAGAATCTCCTGGTAATTTTTGCGCCCTACTATATTTCGTGAGTTTTGGAAAATTCGCGAAATTTAATAGCCGTGAAATTCCTACAGTTTTGGAAGCCAAAATCATTCAGCGAAGGAACAACCATGGCTGATATAGAAGTCGCAAGGAGTTTTTGTATGACAATACGCAAAAATTAATAGCTGCGAAATTTCAAAAAACTGAAAATTAACTAAATATAATAGCCGCGAAATTTCAAAATGTAAAAAAAAACGCGAAATATAATAGGGTCAAATATTAGTGGGAGTACAGTACATATATATTACATTTAGGTTTATGCTGAAGATTTTTTAAAAAATATTCTTACTTTAATTTATTTTACTTGGATCATGTTTGATGTCATGTGCAAATCATGCTGTTAGATAATTTTATACATATACATCTTTTTCTAGATATATCCTGCTCCAATCTGTTAGAATGATATAATTATACAACTGCATAGATTGGTATACATACATACATGTGGGTATGCAAGTAGAAATAATATAATGAAAATACTAATCAAACTCAGTATCTGCGTCAACATTTGAAAATAAAAATTTGATAAATCATACATCTTTAATTTTCAAAATAATTTGTGAGGTGGATTAAGATTATAATACATTTTAACATATTTATTTTGAGTACATCTCAAATCCAATCTCCACAAAGCATTTATGAAAAAGGTATTTGAAATGTTTGTCCCGGTGAATTTTTGCCAGAAAATGAAACAAATCTGGAAGATTTATATTTTCAAGAGAAACTTTACTATTTAATTGCTCAATATGGTAAAATATGTTAGGTCTTCTAATATACTCCCCTCCATAAGTTTGGCAAACCTAACTCCCTCATTAGACTTCATGTTTTTTTAATCAATAGGTTTATTTCATAAATACACAAAGTTGTTGATTTTCTTTCTCAGAGATATTTATTTTTCTTTTTGACGTTTCGTAGGATGTCCATTCTACTTCTTCAGAAATAAAATTATATTTGAATCAAACTGAAATAATTAATTATTACATAACAATGAGACAAATAGCAACCGTTACTATAGAAAACTTCATTGATGTTACAATTAAAAAATTATTGAGAAAAATAGCAACCGTTACCATAAAAAGCTTCAATGATGTAATATACAATTAAAAACGTTACTAAGGTATTACACAACATACCACCTAGAAACGACACTAAGACATTATGAATATGAATATATAAACTATAACATCTTAAAATAGACGGGATCCAGTGTGTAACCCTGATCCCTGTTTAATTCTGGACTTTTAAGTTTGATATGGATTGCTTCTTTGATTTTTCTTTTTAACCAGTGTTTTTCATTATCAATAACCGATACACCTGTCCAATTTATTTCATGTTCTTTATTGATAGAGTGTTCCATAATGGCTGAAGCTATCTGTCCATTGGAAGATAAGGTGACCCTCTTGTGCTCCTTTACTCGATTTGTCAAAATAAAAATCACCCTTTTATAAATGTGTGACGATCTATAATATACTTATGCTGTATAACAGTTAGAGGTGTTGACACAACGACCTCGAACCTGTGAACCCTTGAGTATTATTCCGGGATCGGGCCTTTTATACTAAACGGTGAGCAACACCAGAAACGAGCGTTCGATTTGCTAAACGATATGCGTCACCCTTTAAAGGCACATTCGGCTTGTGTACTTCAGGCAGACCATAGAATTTAGGAACAGTCACTGAAGACGGATAAAGTGTTTTATACTGTTCATCAGTAATTGCTCTCTTCTTTTTTAATTCTTGTAACATCTTTATTAGTTTATCTTTGTATTTTTTCGTAGGATCATTTTCCAATCTAGAATACGTTTCCCTATCTTGTAGTATTTCCATAGCTTTGTTCTTATAATCTTGGTAATCTAGAACCACAGTAGCTCTACCTTTATCAGCAGGCGCAATAACGATATCACTATTCTTCTTCAGATTCGATATAGCAATACGTTCATCTTTTGTTATATTAGGTTCAACTTGTTTAACATTGGAAAGCGAGCTAACGACTTTACTTCTCACCTCAGCAGCATCTCTCGCATTTAATTTACTACATGCGATCTCTGTGTTAACAATAATAGACCGGGTGCTTTTCTGCAAAAGGTCTCTCTGTAAAATGCGTTTAGTGTTAAAAGTGTTCTGACAAGTGTTTCTTATGTAACTTTTTATGCTGAATTCAAAAAACCATGTTGGCAAGCTGAAATATGATTATTTAACCCTTAAAATACCATGTTAGTCCCCCTACCCCCAAATTTCACCCCTATCAGGGGGAAAAAATTCTTCAACCTAAAATAACTTTGATTTTATGGTTTTTGTAAGTGAAATACATGGACATTGTATAAAATAAACATTTGAAGTATGAATGATACGGATTACCCTTAAGAAATTTGAATAAAAGCAAAAAGTATGTACCCCAGGGGGCAAATTTATGACCCATTTTTTACTTTTCGTGTCATAACTTTTTTATTAGACAATGATGGATGCTTAAAAAAATCCATGTAAAAGGCATAATACCTGGTCAACTAATCCTGCAAGAATCAAAGTAATTCATTCGATAATTGCCTCGAAAAAAATTAGTGAATTTAAGAAAAAATGACATTTTAGCTGGGACTGATTTTATGTGTGACTATAACTGACCTCTATTGCTTTAACATTCATCCCTCTGTGTTCATATATTTAGCATTTTAGAATAAATCTAAAATATAAAACTTATTTTAGCAAAGTTTTAGGAAGATTTAAGCTTTTTATCATGTTCAACTATTAAAAATTCATGAAATATGATGTCTAAAATTGATAAGTTATACGTATACCCTTGGAAGACCCTTATAATTTCTTATTTATGAACATATTTGTACCAATATTAGTTTTCTAGCTTAGACAAATGATGTATGATATATCCTGGCTTGGCTTTTTGGTGGTTTGAACAATCTTTTAAGTGTTATCATTGAAAATTCATTCTTAAATCATAGGTCTGCAATCGATTAAATTCATGTATACCATTAGTATCATTCTACTGGTTTGAGCATAATTGAACTAGCTATGATTTCATAGATTAGTTGTTTGATGTATGACATATTCCAAGCTGACTTTCTGGTGATTTTAATCATCTAAGAGGCTTAATCATTGAAAACCATTACAAATAAAGGCCTAAACGGACAGTATTAAGGTAGACTATTAGAACACCCTTAATTCCAGGCTTAGAGTACATTGGTACCTACTACTGTCTCATAGCTCGGAGGTTTGATATATGACATATTCTGACTAGTTTTTCTACAGGTTTGAACCACCTAACATGTCTAATCATTGAATATACTTAATATACTAGGTCTAAAATTGAAGTATTCAATAGAACCCTCTATGATAAATTCAAAAAAGATTCAGAATGACATTAACCTTAACACTGGATCTGAATCAGAATTACAATTCTTCATAGAGCTGAACTAGGAAGACAAGGCTAATTTCATTCTAAGCAGCCTGACAATTGCATGACGTGAGAGCAAAAGTACCAATGATTCATACAAATCTTCATTTTATGGAGTTTTCTTCCCTGTACAATGTTTAGTCATATTAAAAAATCCCCCCCCCCCTGTCCCCATTAACCTTTCTGTGTTACTCTTGGGGTTGAGGCAGAAATTCTTGACAAATGGCGTATACTCACTTTGACAACATTTTGAATTAGTGGGATGTTTCAGTTAATGAGAGTTTTTGCAGAGTAGCAATTTTTTGGCAATTTAAATCCAATAGGACCATATATGGGAAATTCAAAAAAGATTCAGAATGACATTAACGTCAACATTGGATCTGGAAATCAAATAAAGCAACTGATTGATGTGATCTCGGATGACTCTTGTAAATCAGAATTACAATCCTTCATAGAGCTGAACAAGGAAGACAAGGATTACTTTTCATTCTGGTAGTAATACATGGACATGGTCCAAATCTTGATACGCTTCACCATAGCCCAAAGAAAGGGATTTTGGGAGCTTCATCTCAATGTATTTCAATGCATGAATCCTTTTTTCATGAGATATGACCACCAAAAGTATGCAAGATGGGGCACAGTACACTTCACTGCTGAAGTTTTGCTTCCTTGAAGACTGTAGCCAAATCCTAAGGTGTAGATGCAATTGATGCTAATTTGTAAGAAGGATCATACATTGGAAATATTACAGTTGGCATTCCAATGCCATTTGTTAAACAGTTAAGGAGTAGAGTACATTTGAGTTGGCTTGAATGTTTCATTCGTCAATGAGGGCTATTGGAAAAGACATCAGCTCATGTTTCAGCTCATGTTTCATTGATGCCCACAGGTCTGTGGTTAGCTTCATATGCAGTGATAAGATTCTGCAAAACATTCCTGTCTGCCTTAACAACTTTCTGCTCGTTTATATTGGGATTAGGCATATAGTTTAAAAAATGTTGGTGCTTGCTCAGTAGATCAAGAAATGTTGTGTCTTTCATTTGACCCTGTTGGTATCAACCTCTAAGACACAAAGACATCCAGTTGTTGTTGGCCAAACTGTCGAGCCTGTTGATTGTTTCTGTGAGTACATCTTTTGTACATATACTTTGGAGATTAAGTAATGGATCTTCTGAAAACATGCCAAACTTCAGCAGCATGTCACATATTTTAACTTCTTCCATAGATTCTTGTTTTGATTTGCAAATTACCACCCCCCCCCCCCCTCTATGGAATCTCAAAACGCAAGTCCAAACATCATTCTTGTTTGGACTCCCCATGTGTGACCTAAGATTATACCCCGGTGCCCATCTGTTCAATGCAGATATTGTCTTTGTGTTATGCCTACAATTCTGCCACCCTTCTAACCAATAGCATACTGGCATAGGGGTCAATCAACTTGGTTGATTGAATTTGTAGAGCCTTTTACCACATAGTTCAATGCAAGAATCCTCGCTCAACTGCAGCAGGTACTATATTCTAATA